TCATCATCATCATCATCATCATCATCATCATCATCATCATCATCATCAAAGTATATTGCCTACATGTACGTCTGGGCCATATCAGGTGTGTCAAGTGTCCATGGAAGCCAGAAGAGGGTGTTGGGACTGGTGTTATTGATAGTTGTGAGCCACCTTGTGGGTGCTAAGAATCAAACCTGGGTCCTCAGGAAACACAGCCAGTGCTCTTACTCGCTGATTCATCTCTCCAGCCCTTCCGTGGGTAGTCTTAACCCAGAGTTTCTCATGAGAATGGGGCCAATTTGTCAACCAAGAGCTTCAGACGTCTGTGGCTTAATCCAGATTGGAAAGTCAACTTCTGAGCATGTTGACGACTGCTTCTGCCCAGAGGTGTTAATCCATCACAGTGCGACCTCCCCTACAGTGTCACCTATAATGCGAGCTGTTGGAACAAGAAAAGAAGAAGCAAGGGGGAAACAGCAGCTTTGATGTCTCTGATAAGGTCATTTACCATTTCTGCCTAATTCTTTAGGTCACAGAGACCTATGCTGGCAATGAGGAAAGGGGCTATACAAAGATACAAATGCAGACGGTACACTATTCCTGAGGGTATGTTTGGCAACATAATAAAAATTATTTTCTAAAAATCCTCACATTCCTTTAATTCAGAATTCCCACCTACAGCTTCTCACCCTGAAGTGGCAGGCACACTGTTGTACCCTGAAGGATGTTCATTGTAGCGTTGTTTGGAATAGTGAGAGCTGATACCGACACTGAGTACTAGACTGTACAACACTGCGGTTGTCATTAGGAGTGCTGGTAGTTACGTCACAGGTCTGCAGGGGAGTTTATGATGGAAATGAAGCTGCCAGTGGCATGAGTTGGTCCATGTGAGGTAAGAGAGCAGTATCACTTTGGTGCATTTACATCATAACACAGAAACGTCTGTATAGGAAGAGGTCAGGACAGGAACTTGGTCTAAACATGGTTGATGGCTTGGTAATTTTGTCCTTCTGGTTTTCTTGGTCCCTCACATTGAAAGTGCTGTGGTCTCTTGTGATTGTGATGTTTTCCTGTGGCGCCAACACAGAACAATCTCCTCTATTGCTCAGCATGCTCTCTTCAGCTGGTGTCGTGATCATGTGTAACACAGTAAGAGCTTGCATAATAAAAAACCAACATAATACAATCGGTGTGATATAAATCTCAAAGTGACATCTAAAAACTTTTAAATCTTAAGCTTTCTTGCTCATGTTTTAGGTGAACTTGGAGATTTAAGAGTGTATTTCCAAGACTGTGAGAATGTGGGCTACAGAAATTAACTGTTTTTGTAAGAAAATCACCAAGTTGTGTAAGAGTAATATTTCTGTGCACAAAGGGTTACTATAAAAACATAACACATATGGTCTCTTCAAATTCTTCCTTATTCTAGTTCCCAGAACTATTTAAATGTATATTCCCAGAAGTTATTATGTGCATATTTTAACACATTTACAGGATTCTCATTTAAGTAATAAAAACAGCATATGCTATTCTTGAAGAAAAACCACCAGCAATTTAGAACTGAATAAAATATAAATAAAAATACAAGCAGATGGCTTGTGATGGAACACACTCGCAATTTCAGCCCTTTGCAGTGGAGATAGGAAGATTGAGAATTTCAGGCCAGCCTTAGCTGCACAGCAGGAGTGAAGCTAGCCTGGACTCCAGGGTGGTGTCTAACAAACAAGAAACAAGAGCACCTCTCAATCACAGTATTCAAATATTCATAACAGCACTGATATCATAAAATTACTAGTTAATTCGAGAAGACGTAGCACACAGTTACACATATGTATGGCTTTGTGATCGTAATTTTCCTCCTGATTGCATAAGATGACCATCTTTCTGTGTTTATATCCATACCCAGGCTATTTTAAAAATTTACTAGACAGCTACATTTAAGCAGATATGAACAATGCTGCTGCAACGAACATGCTTGTACGTGTGTGCCTGTTAACACAGAGGGAACATGTTCTTAACGCTGTCATAGTTGTTGACTTAGCCAGCAGAAATTCTGTTCACTGTCCTTTTAATTGGCATCTTTTTCTCCTTATTTTTTTTGTATCTCTTTCTTTCTCAGATTATTGGTTTAACCTCTGGGCTATCTCTCCAGCCTCTACTCACTCACATTCTAGCCAAGTTTAAGGTTAAAGTCATTCGGTATCATTTTGTTTCTAGCACAGTGTAAGGCACTCACGGACATTCACTACTCACTGAACTCTTCTTGGTAATTTTTTTTTTTTTGGTAGAACTTTACTTTCACACTTTACAAAATGGAATAAGACCCTTGTGTAATAATGAGAGAACACACCTGGGTTTTCTAGATTAGTAAGTAACCTGGATGGCACTGAACATGTCAGTGACTAGGCTGTGACTATCACCTCATGTTTAGTACGGTCACAATAGTAGCAGCTATTGCAAAGACTGTTGCAAGGCTGAAGATCTGAACCCATGGTCACATGGGATAGTCATTCGACACAGTGATCTTAGATGCCTACTGGAAGGCAAGCTCTCCTAGGGTTCATGGAACAGCAAAGATATACAGACCAAACTAGAATGCTCAGACTGCAGTTTCCTCTATCAACTTAAAGCAAAATGTACAGGGAGAGAGGTGGGCAGACAATGCACGGAAAATAAGGTGCAGGTGGGTGCGAGGGTCGCACCCCCTAAGTCTTGTTCAGCAGTGTGTATAACCTCTGTCTGGGCTGCATCATTCTTCTCTGATGGGGAGAGCTTGTGTCCAAGCACACTTGGCCGGTGGTGGTGTTCACAGGAAGTCCGATGCACAGATGGCAGATGATCCCATGTGAGAATTAACAGGGCACACCATGTGTGGCTGGTTCAGCTGCTCAGTCTTATTGTGTGCCCTGAAGGCTGTTTTTATATCTATATATCCAAAATGCTTGCTGCTGTGGTTGCTAGCTAAAATCAATCATGACTCTTCAGTATCTGTGTCGCCTTTTTCTTTTCACCTTGTGCTCCCAGACTGTGGCTCTCGGTCTGTGTCTGACAGGTACAGACTGTCTCCACTTTACACAGCTGTTGCATTCCCGGTCTGTAGCCCCTTGTCTGTTGTTGAACAGAATTGAGGACTGCCAAGCCATACAGCAACTGCATATTTTACATACATATGTACCATGTTCACAGCCATAGTTTGAGACTAGAAATGAAAGTTGTAGTTACTGCTATGTGAGCTTTGGGGGATATGTGTGTATGTAGTGCTGTTGTTGGTATGGGTGTATGTGCATGTATGTGTACACGTATGTAGAGGCAGAGGGCAACTTTTGATGTTTATCCCCAGGAACTACTCACCTTTTCTTTTGAAATAAATTTTCTCATTGGCCTGGAGAACAGCAAGAACAATAGGCTGGCCAGTCAGCAAGCCCTGGGACCAGTCTGTCACCAGCTGCCACCCCTGTACTGGGATTGCTAACTCTGCCACCATTCCTGGATTTAAATTTTTCATGGCTTTTAGGGAGCATTTGGTCCTCATTCTTGCAAGTACTTTGCCAGCACAACCATCCTCCCAAGTCCTAGATATCCTTAGAGCTGTATAAAGATAATCTCCCTATCTAAACTATCTCCAAATAAATTTAAAAGAAAATTGTCAATCAAAGTGATTTGACCCAAAAGACAAAATTTATTAGCTAAACCATTTTGCTACTAATTTATCTACCTCAGTTTCCAATTGTAGCATGCAAGGCCGGCACGATTTTTAATTCCCCCCCCCCCCCTTCTTTCCAGGCTTATCCTCAGTTTGCCCTGACTTACCTGGAGGATCTCACTGCTCCAGTGGATGTGAGCCAAACAGACAACCATATTCACCACAGAGCCTGGGCCACAGCACACCAACACCATGACAGTCCCAGTGAGGAAGAGGTCAGTGTGGTGGCCAGAGGGAGGACAGACACAGACTTCTAAAGTGTGTTTTGTTTGAGTTCACCTTCTTATTTAGCTTCTCGAGGATCATGCATTATAGGCTCAAAAAGTGTGTTTTGAAAAGAGAAAAAGTATTCTATTTGTTGGTTTCAGGAAAGAAGCCCAGATTCTCATGACAATGCTGTTGATTACTTAAATCACATAATGTTGTAATGTTCTTTTTTTTTTGAAAAAAGACTTACTTTTTTTTTTTTGCATGTGTGAGTGTTTCTCTTTCATGTTTATGGATCCCTTGCAACTGGAGTTATAAATGGTTGTGAGCTGCCATGTGGTGCCGGGGACCAAACCCAGGCCCTCTGGAAAAGCACAGCCAGCGTTCTTAACTGCTGTGCCATCTCTTTAGCTCCATACTGTAACATTCATAGGCACATTTATATTCATATAAAATCAAGGCTATTTGTATAGATATTTTGTTAAATGTCAATATAAGTACACGGTGATGTCCTCTATTTCATATAGGATTGCCTTCATTTGTTCTGACCACATACACAGTCCTGTGCTGTAGGAAAACACAAAGAACCAGGAAACTCTTGTGAGTACATACGTCATAAACATTTCCACTCAATGAGAATTAACTCCACCATTCCTATGTCTCATTACAAGGGTTCACACAAACCTGCCAACAGTCCTTTACTGGAGCAGCTGTCGGAACCCTCGGACACTCTCGATGAGCCGCGAGGCTCTCTTGAGGAAACAGGGCAGCTGGCAGTGGTGCTGCTGAGCAAACTGGAAGGCAAACATCCCAAGGCTCCTGCTCAGAGGTAGGGCATCAACAGAGCGAGGCTTCATTGCTCAATGACATTAGACGTTTTCCTTCGGTTTCATGTAAGACTGATTTCCTGGAGATGGTTGAAATAGCTCAAGAGCCTCTTGGCTTTCAATCACAGTGGTTTCAGGGTCACATTTGATGAAGAGAGGTGACATTTATGTGTATTTTGTTGAAGATTGATATATGTAATCATTTATGAGGATACTTAGGGATTTTAGAAGGATAGTTATGGATTGCAGCCTTAGAATCTCACTAAAATCCACAGAAATAACATCTTTAAGCAAAGGCAATACTGAGCACATATCCAGTTGTGAAAGTGAGCACAGGTCTTTGAGAAAGGCAAACACATAGGCGATACCTTTGATTTTTCTGCAAGGAGTGCCCTGTACTTGCGTCTGAAGGCGGACACTAGGTGGGCTTCTGTAGTGACGCTGAAGACATTAACCATTCCCATGGCCGGAGGGAAAGCAGAGTCCATGGGTTGCTAACAACTCCAAATTATTCCTGCTTGGAAAGTGGAAACTGTGTTTCGTATTCTCCTCACTAGCCTGAAACTAAAGGTTGTTATAGCTGTTGTTCTACTTGTTGACAATCGCTTCATAAGCTGCAGTTAAATCTGTCCCGGTGTGAAAGGACTGCCTAGCTGCACGATCTTTAAGAAGTGACACCATTCTCGCACGTGCTGATTTGGTTTGATGACATCCCTAACTTTAATTCGGCAATTTGGATAGAAGTGGCATTTGTATTAGAGAGAAAAAGAACACTTGACAACTTTGTAAAACTGGAGGCTATTTTACATTCTTAAATTATATAACCCATCTCAAGTGACTCTGTCTTCGATTGATTATTTGTTATTTGGATGATGAGGTCAGGAACGATTACCAATCTTCTATCTTATACTCTCTCAGTGTGAGGGATTCTTGCAGTGCCTTAAGTTCAGGTTCCAGGACATTTCTTCCCTGGTGCTTAGTTTTGAAACATTCACGAGTTTCTCGACTCTATGATCCTCTACGGTATGTGTGCAGGCTGCCGCAACATGGCCGGGCCCCTCTCCACAGCATGTTTGGTGCCGCCCTTGTGTCACTATCAAGAGTTCCTCGGGAAGGGTCTTCGGCGTTTTCATCTGAAAGGGAGCTCAAGCAATCCCAGGGCACTTGGGGATGTGCTGATGCTGCTCTGAGAAGCTACCCCTGGCTGGTCTGCCTCGACTCACACAGTCGTGTCTCCTCTGTCTTTCCTGGTAGAGAATTTGGGTTTTATTGTCTTGGGCTTAGCTCCTATCCTGGGCTCTGGAAGAGCAGATTGCTTCTGCTCTCAGATTCCTGCCACCCTTCAGGGTTTCTGTTCTTCTTCCATGTGAATCCCCTCCCTTGTGCTGATTTACCCACTCTCTGTGTTTTCTGCCTCCCTAGGCTGGAAATATTTTTCTTTGAGAGTACAGGGCTCCCAAAGTTTAGGGACAGGTCATTTTGACTCCATTGTTGTTTTAAATTTCCTGAGGTAATACTATCTGATAATTGAATGTTGGAAGAAAGAGGATAGTAATAGACATCCTATCCTCCCCGGCCATAAAACATGTTACCTAATCTACTATACACTGGATTTCTTAAATTTGATGAGATAATTTCAAATGTCTAGGAAATCAGCGACACTGACTAAATGGCAGTTCTGAAAATATGCTGAAAACAGGGATACAAAGGAATTTTAAGCAAACATTAATAAGTAATTGCTGCCCATCCATTGACACAATGTGAGTCTCCTGTGTTCACTCAGCACCCAAATATTCAACTGGAAAGTTCCAGAAATAGCCAATTCACAACCTTTATCAGATTGTTGTTCTATTTATTGGTTGTTCTTAGTTTAATGTCTTATTATGAGTAGTTTATTAATTAACTTTAACCTTGGTACAATATGTACGTATGTGTGTCAGTGTAGGAAACATAGATATATAGAGTTTAGCTCTAAAGACTCATTAAGTGTGTGTGTGTGTGTGTGTGTGTGTGTGTGCATGTGTGTATGAGCATATGAATACAGTCCCTACAGAGACCAGAGACAGGCACTGACTCCCTTGGAGCTGGAGTTGCAGGCAGTAGTGAGTTGCCCAATATGGGTACAGGGAATTGAACTTGAGTCCTCTGGGAGAGTCAAACAAGCCCTTAGATGCTGAGCATCTCTCCAATCTCAGAATTTAAGTCTGTATGCGTTCTGGAACTCCTATATCTAGACTTATAGGTTTTGTCAGTAACAACTGACTGGCAAATATGTCTGTAATTTCCTTTTCATAAAGAATCTCCCAGAGGCCTTTTCTCCACTGTATCGCTTGGAGCTTGCCGCTTTTGCTTCTTAAGCATTGGAGTACTTTCGGCCCCCTCCCCTCACAGTTGACCTCAGCAGATGCAGTTCCAATTCATTTTCCTCTCTGTGTTATTTATCATAATCCTCTTGAATAAATAGTACAATACTTGACAGCAATCACCTTTCTCTCATGTTGGAAGGAACTGTGGGAAAAATTCGAACATGGTGTAGAATTTAGTGTGTTGGTGACTTCGAGTCCTAGATTGTCTCGTTAGTTTGTGTATATTCCAAATGTGAGAATCAATGTGTTGTATTGTGTTATATATATATATATATATGTCTATATACATAAACATATTGATGCTAGCACATATAAACATATATATAGAAATATTTTTATGTATATAGTCTCATAAATGCTATTCAATGTTAATTCAATTAAATCAAAGCTCACTGCAGATAATAAAGGAGTGATATAAGATTACCTGAGTTGTGAAAATGGAAAACTGGGAAGAACTAAGTGTGGAGGAATCTGACATTATATCCCTAGAAGGATAGGAGGTGGGAGCCGCAGTAGTCAGCTAGTGAAAAGAAAGGGGGCGTGGTCCACAGTACCAGACAGTATGTGAAATTAGTGCAGGTGATATGGGCTGAGGTTCTGTGACTCGTGTATTATCATCCAAGAGCTTACACAGTAGGTAGACAGGGCAACTGTCTCTGTTTCACTGATGAGAACACTGAAACTGAGGAGATTTACTTGTTGAATAAGGTTTCTCAGAAATTTAAGGCAGAACAATCAGCACCCAAATCCTGTTCTTAACATCTACCGCGGACAACTTGACCATTCACATTCCTGTCACAGCGTCCATCGTCCATATCTCAGCCCTTCAGACGACGTTATTAGCTGAACTGGGTATCTCAAAATGGGGACATTTGCATAAGGTAGAGTATTTGGAAAGGGAAAAATGAAGGCAGGAGTTTTCCATGCGGTCTAAATAAGAAGCAGGAGACATTAAAGGACTAAATCCCTGATTTCCGGTGTCATCCAGCCTTGTAGGTCTGTAGTCTGGATGTCCTGATTTGCAGAAGCCTAACCTTGAAGTAATTCATTTTTGAAATTCCTCTCCTAGTTGCATGACAATAACTGTCATAGATATTTCGTGCTTTAGACATTCAGCTCTGAACGTACACATTTGGGGAAGCGAAACTTACAGGTGTTGTTTGGCGGGCACTTATCTCGTAACCACTGCTGTTCTCCATGTTTATTCTTAGCGCGTCAAGAGAGGCTGATTTGTTGCTAAACTCATAACTTGATGACATCACTACTTTCAAAATCAATGAAGATACAGAAACAAATTCCAAGTATCCACACAGTGAAGTTTTGATATGTTATAATATCTGTTCTAGAAAGGTAGGATTCAAGCATAAACCTGTGTCTCTAGACAACCCTTCTCCTTACTACCATTTACTTATTCCATATCAATATGTGTGCTACTTTTTTTTAAAGAAGTAAGTTGCACTATTGCCATTTTTCTGGTCTGTTCTTTTTAATTTTATTCTTAAACAAAACCCACACTCCCTCCCCCCCACTCATCAGTGCCACACAATCTAAAACAATAACCAAGAATTATGTCCTCCCTTCTACAGAACCATTTCAGTTAATTCATACTTCCAAATCTCAGGAAGATGTCTGACTGTTGATCCACTTTTTCGTTGTAACACGGGGAAAAGTCTTTTTCTCACTTGAAGAAGGGAATTCTCTTATCGTTGGAGATCTTAAAGCAAGACACTAGTTTACGGAGGATATATTTTCTTGTTTGCTCTGGCGACTGACACTTTAGCAAAAATATTTTTGTATTGTATATGCATTTGATTCCAAGTTTAATCCAAAATAGAATAAGTGTCACTGTCATCTTGGAGTATCTGGAGTGTGTTTGTTTATGTTAGTTTGGCCAGAGGACCCCCTTACCAGTCTTTAGACCGAGTAAGAGGTGGAGAAAGAGTGGGGCGGCCGACAGAGCATGCTGACCCGGCTTGTCACCCAGTGACCTGAGACAGGAGAATAATGAACTGTGAGTAGCTGTCAACTTAACTGCTCCTGACAGCGTGCCTGTGGGCACATCTGTGTTAGTGGCAGCGGAAGGGCCTTTGTTCTTTTCCCACTAGTGACTTGGTGAGCAGCGAGGTCTCGGCTACTGTACTCATGAGCAGCCCCTTCCTTCCCAGGGAAGCCAGCAGCTGCCATGGGCTGCGCTGACATTTCTCTCCATGACTCAAGCTGGCATGCACTTCATCCTTTGAAGAGACCAGACATTTAAAAGTACTTTGATGATTTTTCATTAAAAATGTACTCTCATGTCTCACTAACAAAAGGAGTGAGTTATAAAATATGTTTCGTGTCATCCTGATTTTATACCCATGAAAGTGAAGACAGATAGGTAGGCAGATGGATGAGTAATTTAAGGAAAATGTATCGAAATATCAGCAGTTGTTATTGGGCTTTAAAATTTTATTTATAACATTTCCCCCAAGAATTAAGACTCAAATACATATTTAAATAAATATAAAATAGGTAATAGTCAACAAGATGCTGAAAAACATTTTTAATATAGATGCTTGGTGCATACTGTACGGGAAGAACATTTGGGCAGAAATACAAAGATTTGCTCTACTTTTTGTTTTGAATTTTCCACTGAC